TCTATCAGCCATTTTGTCTCTATTCCTTGTGGAGGTTCGATTAAGACAGGTTCTACTGTAGTGATACAGTAGTGCTACTAACGTTGTATCTTCTTTAACAGGTCACAAGGTGCTGCTAATTGTCTTAACTGACACCCCCACACCTTCTGTGACGTCTTAGATGGACCTTGTACGATGTTAAGATCGTATCCAATAGGCAGTCGAAAACACTGCAATAATGTTCGTTACTTTTTTTTTTAATCTTGAATATGATTTTGAGGGATTTTTCGAGATGTGCAATACTCTCGAAATCTCTTCAAAGATTTTTAATAACGAAAATGACAGTAAAATCTGTTCTATCTGAATCCTATCTTAGAAGCGAATAACGCTTCTTGTATTTGGTTGTAACAACGTGATCCCATTTTTACCTGGTATATTTACTTGAATCTGTTTTAAGGGATTCTATCAGCCATTTTGTCTCTATTCCTTGTGGATGTACGTTCAAGACAGGTTCTACTGTAGTGATACAATAGTGATAGTAACGTTTAATTAACGTTAAACTACATTTGTTAGAGACTTTTGCTGCCGATCACACGTCTGCCTTTTATTATGAATCCTTCTTCAGATGCCAATCATGCGTGAGCGTGTGATTATGAGCCTTTCCTCTGGAGTTTTTATCAAACTTGCGTGTGATTCAAGATCCAACATTCATTCTTCTGGCTTTTTTTCTGCATTATATTATCACTATTTTCGATGGTATCAGGGATAATAAGTAGTGTTTCCTGGTTTCAAATGATGAGGGATTTGACATTTCAATATATACGCAGTCTTTTATTTATTTGATAAACTGTATAAATAAACGAATGATGGGCAAGTCTAGTCTTAGGGTTACGGCAATGGCTAAAGGTCACTGTAATATCTTTCACAGTTTTTGTCTGAATCCCGATATACATGCTAAAAGGTACAACTTCCTTAAGTTTTGTCTATGAGTGCATCTTTCAGAGTTATTGTCTGAATCCCGATATACATTCTAAAAGGTACAACTTCCTTAAGTTTTGTCCATGAGTGCATCTTTCAGAGTTATTGTCTGAATCCCGATATACATGCTAAAAAGTACAACTTCCTTAAGTTTTGTCTATGAGTGCATCCTTCAGAGTTATTGTCTGAATCCCGATATACATGCTAAAAGGTACAACTTCCTTAAGTTTTGTCCATGAGTGTATCTTTCAGAGTTATTGTCTAAATTCCGATATACATGCTAAAAGGTACAACTTCTTCAAGTTTTGTCCATGAGTGTATCTTTCAGAGTTATTCTCTGAATCCCGATATACATGCTAAAAGGTACAACTTCCTTAAGTTTTGTCCATGAGTGTATCTTTCAGAGTTATTGTCTGAATCCCGATATACATGCTAAAAGATACAACTTCCTTAAGTTTTGTCTATGAGTGCATCCTTCAGAGTTATTGTCTGAATCCCGATATACATGCTAAAAGGTACAACTTCCTTAAGTTTTGTCCATGAGTATATCTTTCAGAGTTATTGTCTGAATCCCGATATACATGCTAAAAGGTACAACTTCCTCAAGTTTTTTCTATGAGTGTATCTTTCAGAGTTATTGTCTGAATCCCGATATACATGCTAAAAGGTACAACTTCCTTAAGTTTTGTCCATGAGTGGAAATGTAATTAACATATTATGGAGTCGGAATTAATGTTAGAGATCATTAAATAGAGGAATTCCTTAAATCGGGGGAACTCATTTAAAACTTTTTTAAACAGTATTTGGTATAAGCCCAAGTTTTATATAGAGAAAAATGCACACACAACACACATAAATATATTGAAATCTCGAAAAATATTTGGGAAATATTTTGTTAAAACACGCCATCAATGCTTGAATTCCCAAGTCTGAAAACTTTGATCTGATAGCGTGGTGAGAGAATTCTTTGGGGATTTCACGCTTTACGTTAATGAAGTTTTCTAATTAAGAAAAGGGTTAATTTGGTTTAAATTTTAAAGAAAAAAAAAGGAAGTTCCACTCTCTCTCTCTCTATTCAAAATAGGGAAATGTCTCTCCAATTACTTGCGTCTAACTTATTAATTAGGTTGAAAAAATGGGAAAAGGTTAAAATTAGAAAATATTGAAGATTCTTCCTCAAGAGAGAGAATATTTCTTAGCTTCTGGCGCAGAGTTTAGAAAGGAATCCTTCTTTCTTAAAGACACAACAGGGAACAGAAATCAGTGGTCTTTAATGAGACAATAATATATTCATATATATTTTTTTATTTTAATTAAAAAGGCATATATTGGATCAAAATATTGGTAGAATAAATTATTTTTTGATCCAATATATGCCTTTTTAATTAAAGATTTATTTATCGATTGCTCTATTTTCAATATATATATATACATATATTATGATATATATACATATATGATTATATATACAATCATTTTTCTATGATACTCATCTTTCTTCTTTTTTTGCTTATCCCTAGTACACGCGTGGTACAGGCCATAATAATCATGGTGGTTAGAAGTAGGCGACTGCTTTTACTGTAAGTGCACCACATGTCTACACATGTGAAAAGCAGTTCGACTTTGCACTTACAAATGTGCCAAAGCCCCTTTTAGCTACTTGCATTCGCAGGTGGGGTTGGACTTTTGTAAGAATCGGGAGCCATGGAAGCATTTTTTTTATCAGAAAAAAAGTACCCAATGCGGGAATCGAACCCGGGTTTGTAGCGGTCGAAAACCAACGGTTTAGACCATCCTTCCACCGACTCCCTATCTTTCTCCTATAATAAAACACATTTATATGACATTTATTAATATAATCAATAGCATAAATTTCCGTTTGAGCGTTAATTCTCTCATTGCAAATGAACACAAAACAAAGCTGAGGTTTCAAACAGTTTACTCAATCTGAAGTTATGAAATATGACACTGGGTATCTCTTATGTTGTTAAAATATATACCTACCCCCCCATACACACACGCAACTATATATATGTAGTAATGTAGTTGTTGTTGCTGTAGGATGACTGTAGTGTGGCATGTTGGTTGCAGTCGTGGTGGCCACAATGTTTAGAGTGGGTTCAGGCGTGATTGGGATTACACAAAAGAACGAGGCATGTTGGATGTCACCACAGAGATGGCGAGAGAGCAAGTGTAGCCGACACCGGTCAGGGTTGATCTGTAGAGAGTGGTCTGTTAATCGTGTCTCAAAGCGGACTGATCTGTTTGAGTAAGAAAGGGGCACACCTGGGAACCCCGACATGTTTTTCGGACCTTTTTCCTCCACTGGTGCCGACTGTCACTCACTAGAAATTTTATTTCTGTCACCTTGGCAATTACACTACATCTATACAACACATGGAGACATAGATATATATTGGAATATATTACAACATATGTATATATATAAAATGTAAATATATGACAACATTTGTATAATTACTGATATTATTGTATATTATAATCATTGTTGCATCATGTTTGATGCGTCCCTCCATTGGAAATATCTTTATTTACGGGGCTTCTAACCAAAATGAATGATTTTTGAGCCCCGATGGACACATAAAGCGGAATATATACAAGCACTATATACATTGCACTGTTGGAGGATCCTGGGGATGGGTGGCCAGGGGAAAAAAGAATATCCCTCCATTTATTCATAAAAATCTATAATATTTTTAATTTATTTCAAATTGATAATAGCAGATTAATTATTATAGTATCATTCATTTTGTAACATTGTTATTGTTTATATCTCTATGGGGGTCGGTGGAATGGTCTAAACCGTTGGTTTTCGACCGCTACGACCCGGGTTCGATTATCGCATCGGGCACTTTTTTCTGATTTAAAAAAAATGCTCCAATGGCCCCCGATTCTTGCAAAAGTCCAACCCCACCAGCGAGCGCAAGTAACCAAACGGGGATCTGGCACATTTGTAATTGCAAATTCGAACTGCTTTTCACATGTGTAGACATGTGGTGCATTTACGGTAAAAGCAGTCGCCTAATTCTACCCACCATGATTATCATGGCCTGTACCACGTGTACTAGGGATAAGTAAACAAAAAAATCTTTATTATTCATTTTTGAGAGTGAGAAATAACCATTGAATATATTTGAAGGATATTGTCACATCCCCTTACTTATTATCAATTATAGTTGAAACACGCTCTGGAAAGACACAAGACATGTGGGAAGAGAAAATTAAGGACGATGAGCTTGCCAAGCCGCAACCTGTTGCAACAATATATATGTATATAGATGGAAATTTCCAGTAACTGCATAGAAATGATCTTACTTTCTTAGGGTGTTATTAGAAATTATATTAACACTTCATGCATATTGGAGATTTCTATATGTCTTTTAATTGGTGAATGGGTTCTTTTTTTGTGTTTGTTTATTCTTCTTCTTCTTTCTTATCACCACTCAATCATATTAGGGTATCAAGCTTGTAGAGCTTGAGACTTGAAAACCATCATGACTGGGTGAAGTAGAATGCGTCTGCCTTTGCCATTAATACTGGGAGCACTACTCAGTGTCAGGTCGACTTAGCTCCAAAAGAAATGGCCGCCTCTGACATGAGGAACAGACGCCATGTGCAGCCGCTCCTAACATGGAGTACAAACGCTGCTCATACTGTATACCTGGATCAGGAGCCCTAACAGGGTACTATCAGCCGGGCCAGCTGAGCCCAGGTTTTTTAGTGAGCTTGTAACTGCTCCCCCTCCTCCTTTTTCATCCGGGCTTGGGACCGGCAAAGGCGGAGTTTTTTCGTTTATAAGAATGAAGAATTTTTTAAATAAAGAATTGAGATACCATTTATTAATAAGTAAACTATTGTTTATACTCATCATTATCTGGATGTTATAAAATTTACTTATGGACATTTTTACCTGAAGAAATATTGATCTAGAAGGAGAAAAGCTATCTCTCACTTCAAAATGAACGTAATCTCAATATGGTGACGATCACTGACTTCAGTATACGGGCTATGGCTGTGTGCAATGCCCAATGCGGGAATCGAACCCGGGTCGTAGCGGTCGTAAACCAACGGTTTTAGACCATTCTTCCACCGACCCCCATGGGCTATGGCTGTGGTCAATTAGGGTTAACTTTGGTTTCATGAGATCAACAAGGAATTCATGAAAAAAATCTGAATTTGCCAAAGAAATAGGATGGGGGTGATGTCTTGTCCATAACTGCTCTATGGAATGAAAGGATGCCATTGCCCCGTTAGTCAGCCAGGATTCCTTTCACTGCTACCGTAGTGAGCCTGGGACTCATGAAGTCCCCACCGTATTTCAGGACAATCTCCTACTTGTGCTGCTTCTCCCACCCACCAGGTAGGGGAGAGGTTCTGGATGGGAAGAAATAGGATAGTGATGGTGGCTTGTCCATAACTGCTCTATGGAGTGAAGAGGTGCCATTGCCCCGATAGTCAGCCGCCAGGGTTCCCTTTACAGCTACTATAGCGTCCCGAACTGACAAAGTCCCCACTGTACTTCACCTTACAGAACAATCCCCTACTTGTGTTGCTTCTCCCACCCACCAGGTAGAGGAGGGTTCTGGATGGGAAGAAATAGGATAGTGGTGTCTTGTCCAATGCTTCTCCATGCAATGAAGGGATGTCATTGCCCCGTCACAGCTACTGTAGCGTCCCCGGACTGACAAAGTCCCCACCGTACTTCACCCTACAGAACAGTCCCCTACTTGTGCTGCTTCTCCCAGCCACCATGTAGAGGAGGGGTTCCGGATGGGAAGAAATAGGATAGTGATGTCTTGTCCAATGCTGCTCTATGGAATGAGGGAATGCCATTGCCCCGTTAGTCAACAACCAGGGTTCCCTTTACTTCTACTATAGCGTCCCGTGACTCACAAAATCCTCACTATACTCAAGACAATCTCTTACTTGTGCTGCTTCTCCCACCTACCAGGTATAGGAGGGATTCTGGATGGGAATAAATAGAATAACTGACATATTTGTAAAGTCGAAAGATCCTCTAAATTATTAAATAATAATAATAAAAAAAAGTTTTTCCGAAGATTAGTTTCTTCCTTTATTTACATATTCTATCAAGAATCTATTTTATCATCACATTTCTAGCATCATATCAAATTGGTTATATACAAGGAGGAAAAAGACATAAGGCAGATGGCGTGCTAATACATCATACCTTATAATGTTATTTGCTACTCAACCAATGAATAACAAGTTCAAGAAGTACAATATGTATGCATGTGCAGAGTATTCAGTACTGCTGACTGGACGTGGCGTGGTACCCAAGGTTCTGGCTGAAGGAGCCGGTAGAGGGTACCTCACCTACCACAAGAAACATCTCTACTACACCTTCCACTTGAAAGGGTACCTAACTTTATCTTTTACTCTCGCTATCACTTCGATTTTGTTGCAGATTTCTTGAATCTTCTCTATTTTGAGATTATCTTCAAACCAAGGCATTCATGTTGTTCCACCTTGTACATCACCCCCTAGTATAGGGGTCGGTAAACTGCGGCTAGCGGAGCTACATGCGACTCTTTGGACGTGAAACTGCGAATCTTTATATAGTTCCATACGTAAATATTATTTATGCGAGTACTATTTATTGTTGGCAAGAAAAAGATTGTGTGGCTTTATAAAAACTGAAATTTTAAACACAAGGTAATAAGACCAAATCCAAATAAATGAATAGTGTGTGTCGTTTCGGTAACAGCGTTGTTACCATCTTCAGACAAAAGTACTGAATTGCAAGTTAAAGAAGTACAATATGTATGTACTTTCAGTACTTTTGTCTGAAGATGGTAACAACGCTGTTACCGAAACGTCACACACTATTTATTTATTTGGATTTGGTCTTATTACCTTGTGTTTATAATCTATAATCCAAATTGTGCCTTATCAAACTGAAATTTTGTAAATTGTAATTTTTTACTCTTCATACTAAAAAATTTGCCGACTCCTGCTCTAGGACATTCATCTTATTTATTGGTTTAGTCTTTTTAGAGTTGTTCTGTCTATTTACACTCATGGATAAAACTTGAAGTTTCTTATTTTGATGTCGATCGTTGTTTTTTTTTTTTTTGTTGGATCGTTTTTGAAGACAACTCTCATATTTATAAAATTATTTTATTAAACATTAAACATTTTTAGATATATATAGAAAAGAGTTAATTATCTCGTATTTAAGACAACAAAAGATTCATTTAATTTTTATACATTTTCTAACCAGATTCAACTTATGAAAACAGACGACAAAGAAAAGAATAAACAAATTAATAATAGAGGGTAAGTTCCTATTTTTCACAAGCTTTCACACTCAAAGAATATTCAACTTCTTGCTTCATTTTTTTTTGGAGGAGACAGAGGAAATGTTGTTCACACTTGGTTATGTGTCTTCAATAAAGGTCACTGTAATATCTTTCAGAGTTATTGTCTGAATTTCGATATATATTCTAAAAGGTACAACTTCCTTAAGTTTTATCCATGAGTGTATATGTTAAAACTCAATCAATAGATGACGTCTAGGTTTGATGTCAAGACGTTGACTGGAAAGGTTACCTTTATCTTTCTAAATTCTTTCTTGTTTCAGATATATTAAACACCCTTCATTCCTTTTCTTGGCATAGTTTTAATTCACAAATTTACACACCGTATTCTTTGATGAAACGTCACTTCAAACTGATGTCATCCATGGTATAGACTTTCTAACCTCGCCTGTTTGTATGTTGCAGACTTCCCAAGCTCACTCAGCTCAGATTCACCAACGAAGAAGGATCCATTCTGGAAGAAGAAGATATCACCGAGAAACTACTTCCCAATGATGGAGGAACTAAGGTATTTGTCTCAGAGTGACATACTTATATCCTCGTTCCATTCAAATTTTATAGTTACTCAATTTGTCACATCACACGGAACAGCCCTACTTACATAAAAGAGGTCTATCAGAAACACCAAATTGTTCATGCGGAGAAACTGAACAAACTGCTCTTCACCTTAACAATAACTGTCTGAACTTTACAGAAGTGAAACATCGATTGTTCTCAGTTATAAATTATTTATATTAAAAACAAAAAAGGCATTTCCTAACCAGGTTCACATGAGCATTTCTAGATGGCAGAGCGCCATCTAGTGGAACAATAAATGATTTATCTTTCTTACATCACACAACCACTTTGTTTATATAAATTTTATGAACTCTGTCGCTTTATATATGTGAATCTGTGCATTTTTAATTCTAAGTTCGAATTTGTTCGTTTTGTTTGTTTCTTCTGTAAAAAGGACAGATACTTCAATATCGCGCCTTGCTGATAAATAAATAAATAATATTCTCTTTATTATAGAGACCGCCCTTTTACTGCTTTAAAAAAAGACAATCTCTTCAAAGTCAGAAAATCATCATATGATTTCTGAATAAATATATTGAAACTAGAGCATAAGATTACAGTCACACTTATGACGAAAAAAAAAAAAAAATTTAAGAATACCTCCAAATTTAAATATATCAAACTCGTTTAAGGTTTCATTTGAATTTTCCTAAACAAAAATGACCATTATAGACGCGTATGATTGTTGTTAATTTTAAAAAGAATCATACGCGTCTATAATAGTTTCAAATTTTGATAACAGATGGCGCGCTAATGCATCATAAAAATAACCATCATAAAGCCTCCAAAAATATGAACGAGTCTGTGAGACTACTGCGCGTGCAACAACGATTAAAAAAAATGAAATGAACTACGCATGCGTAGATAGAGTCGGGAAGCAAGAGAAAGCCAAGACTTAACATCCTAGCACATATCTATCAAAAGAGTTAACATTTTCTCTTCTCTTCTTTCTTATCTCCACTCAATCATATCAGGGTATCAAGTCTGTAGAGCTTGAGACTTTGATAGTGTTTTGATAACCATCATGACTTGGTGAAGTAGAAGGCGTCTGCCTTTGTCATTAAGACTGGGAGCACTACTCAGTAGCAGGCTGACTTAGCTCCAATATGAAATGGCCACCTCTGATATGAATAACAGACGCCATGTACAGCCGCTCCTGACGTGGAGTACAGACATCCTGTATTACAGGATTAGGAGCCCTTACAGGGTACTATAAGCCGGGCCAGCTGAACCCAGGTTTTTTTAGCGAGCTTGTTACTGCTCCCCCTCCTCCTTTTTCATCCGGGCTTGGAACCGGCAAAGGCTGAGTTAACATTTTCTTATAATAGTAAATTGTAACTTTCATATATAAATTTATATATTTAAAACAAAATTAATTTATAGTTCGAGGTTATATTTATAAACCATATTGATATTTGGTGTTTTAAATCACATTATATTATGGAGATTCGACAATTAATCTCCTTATTTTGTAAATGGTAAAGTTTAGTGTGGTTAAAATCGTTTTTTTTTTTATCACACGACACATATTTTATAGATGGAATTATTTTTAAAATTCCTGTCTCTCATGCACGAGACTATGAGCCAATATATTATAGTACTAAATATTCTACATCAATCACACATACATTCATGGACAAAACTTAAGGAAGTTGTACCTTTTAGCATGTATATCGGGATTCAGACGATAACTCTGAAAGATATTTGATATACAATGTCCTTTATTGAAGACACACTAGATACACTCATAGACAAAACTTAAGAAAGTTGTACCTTTTAGCATGTATATCGGGATTCAGATAATAACTCTGAAATATATTCGATATACACTAACCTTTATTGAAGACACACTAGATACACTCATAGATAAAACTTAAGAAAGTTTTACCTTTTAGCATGTATATCAGGATTCAGACAATAACTCTGAAAGATATTACAGTGATCTTTGTTGAAGATACACCAGATAACTAAATATGAACAAAATTGTCTCTGTCTCCTAAAAAAAAAAAACAGATGTCCATTAAAGACATTCCACTTCCTCAAGTTATATCCATAAGTGTATATATTCAATCGATGTTTAGATAGCTCTTTGTCGGGGCATGAACAAGAGTTTTTTTCAAGAATCGCACCCACAAAAGAAGCCTAAAAATATCAGGTAAAAAAAATCAAGAACCGCTAAAGAGAGAGAAAGAGAGTCGGGGGAAT